GCGGTAGCTGGTCTTTCTTTCTATCATTTTGTTTCTGTTCCGAGTGGTTTTTGTACCCTATTTTTTTCTGTTTCTTCGTGGGGTCGTGTATGCCGGGTTTTGAGACCACGGGCTCCCAATCTTTTCTTTTTTAGAGCTAATGTGAGAAACAACAACAACAACAACCGCTGCATGTAGGGGTGTGACACCTGAAGAATTGGTATTTTTGGTCGTATTTCCACGTTCGAAAGCACGCTGTATCAGTTGTGTGTATTGTTCAGCATATTTTTGATGATTGCCGTGTGAATGTGCCTCTAGGGCAGTCAGCTGACTGAGTAGTCTGGTGGATAAGAGACCATATCATGAGTTCAAAAGATATCCGGGGAGTTGGAATCTCATCAGGGGCCGCCTATGTTCTACAGGTATGAAAAATAAAGCGCTACATGTATCACAAGGAGGGAAACGAGTGCATGTTGAATGGCACAACAGAAAGGGAATGTGATGGTTTCCCAACATCTAGGCAATGTGTTAGGAAGGGAGGGCATAAGGCGCAGATTATCGGTGTTTTTCCGTTTGAAATGCAGACAGCGGAGTAGTCTAGATTTCCGGTGCCTGTGGGTAGTTATTTCGGCCAAGCTTGTCGCACAACCTCGCAATGGGGTGGGGGCGTGTGATCGACTTGATATTGTGCTGCGTGAGCAAGGGTTTTGTCAAGTCACTCGCGTGTGGGCGTGTAGAGCGGGCCGTGGAAGTGGTCGTATGATGTCGTCATGTCTAAATCGTGCAGCACAATGTTGGAATCTTTCCTCTACAAGACCGGTCTCTAGAGGTCTCACCGAACGGAAATGGTGAATGAATGAAGGAATGGATGGATGGTTGGAATGAATGGATGGATTTTTCATGAATGAATGACAGCGTTCACTCCGAACCTCCGAACTACGCACAATTTCAGCCGAATGCCTAAGGCACGAGGAACGAGACCACCGGCCGTCCGGCACTGCGTTAGCCGCCCTCAAGTTGCAGCTTGACTGATGCCTCTTACATTAGCGTTTGACTGTGTGACCGGCCTTCCCAAGCATCGAACACGAGGCTGCAGCAGGTGCCTCCCGCACCAAATTGGTTCGATCGCGATGAGTTTGTGCCTAAACGTTACCTATCCTCCACCAGATTGAAGCCCTGAGAGGTATGCAGCTGGATTGACAACCCCTTCGACCCCGGAATGGCTGTGTGTCTATAGTACTTCGATGTTGCCTGCCAACGAGAGGTTCGGGCAACACCGCTGCCACCTCCCGACGCGGAAGATTGTTCCACCGTATTTCGCAAGCGCATGACACAACTTGACAACTTGATGATTGATGGCATTATGAGTATCTCTTTCCCTCGTCGGAACACATTGATCCATCCGTGCACTCATTGTACAAAAACCACGATCTCGACCAATTTGCGCGTGCGAGTAGTTGCCTTCCGGCCATCAAATTTCAATCCATAACGGGATTACCCACTTCGAGGCTGGGACAAGCCTGCCAACGACAGCCTCGGGGCGGGGCACACCTGTACTACAGCCGGCCTGGAGGCGTTGGATTTCTGAGGGGTTTTGATCCGGTGGTGGCCGGGTTTCCCCTTGTGTATTGGTGTTGTGGTTGTCTTTCCGTCATTTTCAGCGTATGTTCGACGCACGAGAAGAGGGTGTTCGTGCGTGCAAGTAGAAGTATTGCAGAAGTAGGTCGGAGGTAGCCGTACATAGGACGCAATTGGGATGTACCTGGAGGGTATGTGGTGAGAGGCTTTGGACGATAGCGCGGAGTCCCCGATTTCTGTCGAAGTTTTGGGGCACCTCCTTCTCTCTCTTGCAACATTCCATGATCACCGTCAGCTTCAGCATTACTTGTCCACCCCCGAGAATCGTGACACAATACGAAACGTTTTCCCCGAGGTCCTTCGTGAGGATAGACACAAAGAGCATCCAACACAAGCAACGAAATCATGGCGACACACAAAATGTCCAACAACTACACTCCTGGTTGTGACAACTCCAACACACACTCATTCATAAAACTATCTCCAACAGGCGGCCTATCTGCGGCGCTTATTTATATTTCCAAAAAAAAATTGACGGGGCCGAGAACCCGACCTCGGCAAAATAGGGGATCGATCGAGTTCCCAAAATATGCGATGATAGTCCTATTTTCCTCAACACCACTTGTTATTTGCGGGGTGTAACCTCGGCAAATCCCAATCCGTCGGGCCCCACCACGCCAAGGTATTCCACGGGGTCGATTATTGGCGGGTCCTTCATCTCCCACTCCGCTTCTTGTACCCACCTTTCAAAAAAATAGCAACAGGTAAACCGTCAAAGACAGATGAGGAGAAACGCAGGGAAAACTAAAGCGAAACAGGGGGTGAAAAGAGTGTTGCACGAGCTTGGTGAGATGTTTTGTTTCGTTTGATCGGGTAAGTTGGACAAACCGGCAAGCAACGGCGGAGAATGGACAAGGTTTGACATGATTCGACTACTGCTCATGGACCAAACAATGCTGCGGTTAGATTTGCTTTCAGCTTCAGCTCGGTGTACTTTGTGAAAGCGGAAAGTAGTGTCCTGCCCCACCCTCACAGAAACAGTTTAATGATTACCAGCGGAGCGCAAAGTGTGACCGATTTTCCCTTCATCCGAGGAGGAAAACATAGCCTCAAATATCGGCCTGTTCGTACACCATGCACGGGCCCCAAAAACTGAAAACCGGCAAGCATAAACATCCCTCTTTCTCGACCCAACCAACACCTATAGAGCACCGATTGACGGCCCCGCCCTATCTAGTACTTGCAAGTATTGCCATGGGTGTACTTTGCATTTGCTCAAAAAGCTCTGCGGGCGGAAGGTGTTGACACGAAGGGACGGGAAAAAACTTTGTCCAATCCAACACCAAAACGCGTTGCGCGTCGATGTACATACACTTCTAACGTACAGCGCACCGATGAACGCTTCTTGCCTCACCTGCCGTAGAAGACCTTGAGGATGCCGTCGAGCACGCCGACCGTGTGCGCCGCGCAGCCCCAGGGCATGCCCTCCACCCGTCCCGCCTCCGACGGCTTGGGGAAAGCATAGGCGAACACCTGTTGTACGGCAAGCCGGGAGAAGGGAAAAAACAAAATTGGACGGCGTCAACGACGGGGCGACAGAGACATCGCCACCGGAATGTGTGGAGTCAAGTTGTTCCAAGCCAGGTGTTGATGTTAGGTGCTGCCACGGTGGTTTTGGAGGTTGTGCGGTCACGCGGTACCTGCGGCGATCACCCTGGGGGTTAGCTTATGCACAACAGTATCGATCGGGGTCTGGTTCTCGTCCTCGCGAACAAGAGCGCCCGCTGGGCACCGAGGGGAGTGGTTGGGCCATGTTTGGGGAAAGGGGCTTGTGCTGCACAAGGGGCCCCGCCTGGCTCTGGTTAGGGCCTTTCCGTTCGGAGCTGGCAAAATCGAATTCTCAGCGAAAGGAACGTGAACAGGAAAATCTATAAATCGTCGTGCCCAACTTACAGTAGAGTTTAAATAGGACAATACAGCGAATCTGAATGATGACCAGCGGGAGATGCCGAACTCGTTAGGTTGTGGCCACCCTGCCACGCGTTGTTGACTGCTCACAGGAAGCGCAGAGGGGGCGCCTCTAGGAGAGGGCTCACCGAAAGGCAAACGATACCAAGGTATTGGAAAATCATGTTGTTCATGCTGGTGCATTTACGGGATGAAAACGACTTTTCCGTCGAATGAAAAGTTCAAGCCAGAAAGGATGCTGAAGAAACTACAGGTGCAACGACTACTGACAGACATCTTGCCATCATTGTCACCACCATCAACGACAACAGCAGCAGGAAAAACACTCACATCATCTTTCAGGTCGGGGTTACCGATGAAGCGCTTGGGCTTGAACTCCGTAGCGTCCGCCCCAAAGACAGCCTCGTCGATGTGAATCAAAGGGTGGTGGCAGCACAGCATGTCCCCCTTCCGGACCTGCGGAAACCACGACCGTTTCGCGCAAAACCGTTACAACCAACGCCGTCCGTTTGTGCCTGTCGACCTCGCTATTGTGCATGTCAGACTCGACAATGTTTCGTGATAATTTGTAGTCAATATGACTAACCTGCGTCGGGGTCTGCGCCGCTTTCTCACGCACGGATCGCCCACAACAAAGCGATTCTGTGAGCCGTGCTGCGGCATCCCATCATGATGGCTTCAAAGATCCCCAATCCACACGCGACAACGAAACACCGTCGCAGACGCGCGAAGGGTAAATACCGTAAATGACACAAGATAACACACCCCCTGGATCGATTTTCAAACCCCGACTTCTAAGCAGCAGAAAGAGTCACAGCGCCGACACCGGTGGCATTGAAGCTGTCTCGTTGAGAGCTCTCCGAGCATGCGTTGTTTCATTTTTACATCCTCTTCGTTGTGGCGTAATTGAGCTTTGAAAATTGATCCAGGTGGTGTGCTATCTTGTGTCATATACGTTAGCAAGGACGGCGGATCGCGGAAACCGAGCCACTTTCTAGGCCACGCCGACATGCCAAGCTAATTCTAGGCTACCCCGAGATGCTGAGGCATCACGGGACTGCTGTTTCAATGGTCCCCGGTCGGCATGCGGGTGCCACGAAGCTCCACGACACATGCAAGCGGAGCGCACGGGCATCACTCACCTGGTACCTTGCTCCTGAGCTGGTGGGCACCACAAGATCCATCTGTGCGGTCTTGAAGAAGAACTGGGGGGCGGGATACAGGCGGAGGATTTCCCAGTGGAAGCTGTCCAGGAGGGGGAAGCGCTTCGCATCGGAAACCGACTTGATCGTCAGCTCCTGCTCTCTCGATGACAAAAACAAAAAGAACGAGGGCGACGGCGGTCAAGATACGCGCGTCGGATTGGCAGACCAAAAGGATTGGTTTCGTATGTACCACGCAAAAAGGCAACCACCGTGGGCTGCGGAAGACATCACCCCCCAGAGGACAGAGTTTTGAAACCCGTTTATTCCACAACGAAGGAAATGCCAACGTTAAGTGATACACCCTCGGAAAACCACTCGAAGGAGAGACACGTTTCCAACGCCACGATTTTCGGCATCGCCACCGACGTTTCCTGCAGAGACCTTAAGCTTTGAAAATCGGTCCAGGGAGCGCGACATCTCGTGCAGTCAGCCTGCGGTACTGTGATCCTTGTTGCCAAGGCAACGATGGTGCGAACCCACACGGCCAACCCTCGGTGCGCGCTCGTACTATAATAACCCGGACAAGCGATTTGGGTCGCTATCTTGAAGCGGCAATTGTTTGAATACCTTCTGGGAATGGGTTGAAGCACTTTCTTCGAGTGCTTCCGTAACCTTGGATGGAATTTCTGGTTTTCTGGGGCCAGGGTTTGCGGCCAGGTTAGTCCGCGTTACGGAGCCACGGTCGCCACCCTCAATACATCTCACCTTGCTTCAGCCGGTGAAAAACAATACCAGAATGTGGGGCTAGCTTACATGGTGGATAAGGCACACGGCCTCCAGTACGATACACCCCACCAACTATTGCGGTCGCTCCTCAGCCAGCGTTACAAGGGCGCTGCCTGGGAGACGCATAAAAGCCATTTTTAGTTGCAACTAATACCTACAGCAGAAGCTTTGAGGAGGGGGCAAGCCACAAAACGATTTTCTTCTAAACCGTATCATAGGAAATATGTGTGGCAAGTCTCTCGTTCGGCACAGAACACGGTTTACCCTCTTGAACCTATACTTTTCTCTTTCATGATCTCTCTTTTACGCCCAAGTCGCTACCACTGCTGTACCTGGCCGTCGAGTTCCGCCCTCAGCTCCGCCAGGAAATCCGGGTTCGCCGCGAGCGAGCCGACGCAGTACTCCATGTTCTTGGCCAGGGCCGAGGACGACTGGAAGCCCGTGAAGAACATGAACGATTTATCCATGTCCTGCATGGGCAACTGGGTTTCCGTTCGAACGCAAGCATGGCGTGTGGGTGTAAACGCGGGGGCAGGGTGGTTACTTGCGCGGTATCTTTTCTAACTGATTGGAGAGGTTACAAGTGCACAGCTCTCGGCATTTGCGGTGGTCACATGCGTCCACACGTCGCCCAATTCCCACAACAAGGCATCGAAAAAAAGAGATGGGCACACCGAGGACGACGCCGAATACTGGTGGCCGATGGAAAGCCGCGTGCCGCCGACAAATACTGTCAAAAATATATACTATTCGCGCGGCGCGGGCGGCGCGCTTACTCCGCTCTCCTCGAGCATCTTGGTGAAGGACGGCCACATCTTGGACGAGCGGATGGCCTCCAGGAGGACCTCGACGGAGGCCTTCTGCTCCGAGGATACCCCGCCCGCGACGGCCTGAGCCACCTTGGACGCGAGGCTGGCAACGGGGGTGTCGACCTCCAGCCCGATCAGCCTGCAACAGCAGTGATGAAAGGACAACGTCAGCGTTGGTGGAGTACTCAATCTCTGTGCGCCTTCGCTGTTAAGAGCGTCGACCGCGAGGGGGGTGCAAAACAGAATTTCTCCAGTCCGGTAGTACTGTGGTCCGTTCGGGACTTGCGATCCAATTTGCCGCCCTGCACTTACATGCATTTTTTTCGGGGTAGGGGTGGTTGTTCCGAATTTCAAAAACACCGTAAAAAGCCCTGTCTCCAGGTGCAGAAATCTAAAGTTTGATTTTTTTTTTCCTTGTTCGTTGCCTCTTTATTTCAGAACAACCAGAAAAATTTGTTCGCGATCTGCCGGATCTACTTTTTAGAGAACAAATCTGAAGCCGGATTTCAACAGCTCGTGGAATTTGCAGGTGTCGCCTCCTTCAAAAATGAATTTCACCAGGAAACGACGAAGTTATGGCCCACAAACCGATTCTGGAATGGCGTTTTGTTCGCAATCTCCTGCGAGAACCAACTTCACGATTATGAAATAGAGTGCGGCAAACGATTCCTCTCGAAATTCCGCAGGTGTCGCTTTTCCCGATTTTCCTAAAAACGAATTTTAATGAGATATTCGGTGATGTGCGTGCCGCTGTGAGAGACGAACAGCTCTCGCACGCACACACACACCAGACAGTCACCACTCAACAATGCAGCGCAAGTGGCCACACGGTCACACACAAGAGCCACACATGCCGCGACGCAAGAAACGAAGAACAAAGATGGCGCGGAACGCGGATGGAACCATCGCGCCACGTGCTCAAACAACAGCACCACCAGCACAACTCGTCCGTTCTGGCCATGAGTCCGATGTTTCTCCCATGGATGTTGACGAGGATGACAATGCCCGTGACGAATGCAATAGGATACATTTGTGGTGATTGATATGCATCCCATATGCATACGAGTATACATAGAGCCGTTACAATTGGTGCAGAGCTTGAAAGCTCTGGGCGTTTCCCTGGTATGATTTGGAGGGTTCCATATGGTATGACTAGGGGGTTGGTTTGTGTAGGGGGGTTCCGTGGTATGATTAGGAGGTTCCGTGGTATGATTAGGGGGTTCCGTGTACCATTTTGGCCAACATGTTGCATTTTCTCAAAAAAAAAACTCTGCAGCTATCCACGTAGCTCGACGAGGCGATCACGAATATCGTTGTTTCATGTTCCAACTCTTTTCAAAAGTTATCGCACAAAAACAAGAATAGACAAATTGTCCCGGACGGACCATATTTATGGGCACTCGTTTACCGAACAGCCTGTGATCTAGGCTTTTCGAACGAAGAGCTCCGATCCGAGGCCTCAGTTACGGTTTTCCCTTCGCGATGCTTCCGGCGTGCAGCGTGCGTGCGTGTGTGTGTCCGTCCCATTCCCTCCACCCCGCCAGTCTACCCACCAATAGGCGTGCGTGCACGTCATATCAGCCGGGGTCACACAAGAGAAAGAGCACACTAGAGCTTACAGAAAAGCCTCACTGTTCCTCCTGCGGTTGTCTTGAAAGCTGAAGAACACGTGCAATGGCAACCAATAACAAGAACTAATGCAGGGTTGACACCAGCACGGCGAGAGATCCTCAAACTTGGTAAAGCTCCAACTGAAAATACTCACACGGAGATATCGGGAGGGTTCACGGTGAGGAAGTCCTTGTACGGAGGGAGGGGTTGGCCGCCTTCCTCCCCCATGCCGAAAATCCACTCTAGCATGAAGGCGTACGACTGCTGCAGAAAGAGGTCATACACAGTCGTGTAGTCTCCCATACCTGGGGGTACCAGGGTTAGGGGGGGGGGTGTACTCATAGTCGTGCACGCCGTAGTCGTTAGACCGTTGACCTCGCATCCCCACAAAGCTGGGACAGAGCATGCCGGGTTCTCACCGGATCAGGCTCTCATATCACCAAGCGCGAAGCGCCGTGAGGTATTCGGCGAGTCGCATCAAGGGTGTGCTGCGTCCTGCTAAGGGTGTTCGGCATCTTATGCTTACTCGTACGAAAGCTGCGTATGACTTAGACTAAATTTATTTTCTGGTGCTTTCACTTCCAGCAGTTGTAAGCGCTGCGTAACTGCCTCGAGGGTGTTTGACCAATTCAACACAACGTGCGACTATCCCCTTTGCGCGGAGTGAGGGTTCTCGACCCCGTACAACATGATCTACTCGACTGCCATCTATGGTTACCGCAAAACAAAAAAAACGCGGTAACCTGGTTGCCGAGCTCACGAAGTGGTCGGCTTGTTTTACAACGTCGCTGCCAAACGACGAAAGCCCTACAACCCCGATGGCAAACACCGGGGGGGGGGATCAAACACTTCGGGATGCAAAATCAAAACTACATGGGGGCCTCGATGGTTGAAAAACACACAACAAACTCAAAGTAAACAACCACGGTACAAGAGGAAATACCGTATATGACACAAGATAACACACCCCCTGGACCGATTCTCAAAGCTCGATTACTCCACGACGAAGAGGATGCAAAAACGAAAGGATATACTTTTCGAAACGCACTAGACGAGACGGTTTTAACGCCGCCGTTTTCGGCGCTGTGACTGTTCCTGCAGTTGAGAAATCGAGCTTCGAAAATTGGTCAAGGGGGTGTGATACTTGTGTCATATACGGTAAACACGTCGGAAAATACCTTCTGCGTGACACATAACGGCACCACTACACCACAACCAACAACAACACCAGTGACAACGACAACTACAACAACAACCCACTCCGCCGTTTCACCCTCACCGTTCTCCCAGAGATCCTTGTAGAAGTTGGCGGTGGCGTGCTCGAGCGCGGTGTCTGTGGCTGCCAACCTCTCGCGGAGCACGGCGACTATGTAGTCCCGGGCGCCTTCGTGCTTCTCCATGGCGTTGGTCACTAGGGCCGGAAGCCCCTTCCCGAGGTACTCCTCGTTGCACCTGAGGGGGCCAAATCGTTGCCCTTCCTGGTTTGAGGGTGACGCGAAGGGGGGGGGGGGGCGGGGAATCATATTTTGCAACGTTAGACCATGGACCACGTGTCCTCGAGAGGACGGAGCGGTGCAGAGTGGGAGGGTACAGCTCCGCGAAAGTATTTCCAGGAGAAAGACGGGCAAGAGAAATAGGAAGGAAGGGAGGGCGAACGAGAGACAAAGTTTCGGGGTCACCGAAAGGCAGGCTCAATCGAAATAGTGGCCCTCATGCGTGCCGTTCCCGGCCCGAGTAAGACTCATCCCGGTGTTCAAATGGTATACGATTTGATTGACATCGCAGACAGATGCGCCTGCATCTTACACACGCAGGTGAGCTTCGGAATGGAATCAGGCCCGGCAAATTCTTGCATCGCAAAATTCCATTGCTCTTGCTGTTGTCGGTAATCCTACTAAAGCCTCCACGAATGTTTGTTAAGTCTCATGGCGGCCTACCCCCCGATCAAATCGCGGGCAAACCCAGGTAAAACACGCTGTGTGTCCTTGGTTTCGGTGTGTCGTTTGTATGTGTTATTTCGCCATATTCGCCCAAGGTCAAACGTCGTGGACTTGTCGCAGAAGCATTTAAAAGTTCTGAGTTATATGTAGCTCGGGGGTTGTCCCCAAGCACTTTACTTCAAGACCTCAAAACCAACGACAAGTGTCCACAGCCCATGACAGCTGTTATACTGTTCTTCCGCCGGATGTAATACACATACCATTCTTTTGTATCTCAAACGTATCTAACTACTCTATCAAGGATCGCCCCGTGGTCTAGTTGGCATCCTCAAAACCTTTTAGAGGTCAGGTCAGGGTCGAATCCCAGGATAAGGCCGAGTCTTACGTCGTGATTATTCCGGGATTTTTATTTGGGGGGGGGGGGGTACTCATATTCGTGCATGCCGTAGTCGTTAGACCATTGACCTCGCATCCCTACAAAGCCGGGACGGAGCACGCCGGGTTCTCACCGGACCAGGCTCTCANATGGCTTCGGGTTTTGATGACCTGCTGCCTTCCACCGTGCTCTCGGTGGCCCTCTCGGCCCTTCACCAAGTCCAGCAGCGAAGCCGCACGCATCGCACGCTAGCCCAGTGGGCCGTCGCACTACGCGCCTTCGACGACGCCTTCGAGTGGGAGGATAGCGGTGAGCAGGATGGTCCGCCCGTGAAGCGTTCGAGGCAAGTGAAGGAGCGAAGAGATTGGAGTACCTCGGCGTGGTGGCTGCAGCTCCAAAACGCAGACCTGTTGGACCACACCACAGAGGCGGCGAAGGTCTTCCGCACTCGCTTCCGGGTACCTCACGCCTTCTTTCTAGAACTGGTGAAGATGGCGAGGGGGAAGAAGTGGTTCTCTGTGCGAGAAAAGGATGCTGTCGGACGTCGGGGGATACCAATTGAACTGAAGTTGAGCTCCTATCGGTCTGGACTGTACTGCTGTGGCACCGCTCGCCCCTTGTACCCATCGTCTCTTCGAGACACTTTGCACCTGTTGTGCTATTCGTGGTCCCTTTATACATATACTTCGTTGTTCAGTCCAGCCGTGCACGGTTGCTCTGATAGTACACAGCAGCGTACCCTCTGGTGCTCTGCTGTCAAGGTCTTTTTGACGATACACAAAGCACCGGTTGTGTTTTTGCTTAACAGATCGCAGTATTTAGTTCCGCCGTGCAAGGTGGCTCTGGCATGCAGCGTACTTCCCGTCGTCCGTGTGTGATACACCTACACCGCTCGCCGTATGTACGTTCAACACAAATAAATCAGGTGGGGAACAGCAGTGGTATTGCGAGCATGTGCCGGTGCGTTTGGGTCGTGTTATACAGCAACAACCTAATGCACGCGTTTTCCAACTGAGTACACTACGCATGTCAACAGCAAGGTGCTCACGAACGCCTTGTAGCAGGCAGATACACAGCAGTCAAGCTGCTGCTACTCAAGTGCTTCAATTAAGTTGGCCAATGGCCGTGAGATACATGGTATGCACACAGAAGCTTGTGTATTTCGTACTTGTGCGAGATACATACGTCCAGTGACATTTGGTATATGCCAGTTCGATGTACGTTGGCTTTGGCTTCAGGTGGCGAAACCGCCGTTTGTCTGTCTCATTGGACGTTCACCCACCGTCACCCTATTTGACTTTCAATGCGTCAATGGTGCAACACACGAGTAGAAACAGGTTGTTGTTGGTGGTGAACTGCAGCGATGTGCCGAGCATTGAGCCGATGCGTTGGATCGTAGTGCACAACTTCACCCGCTGGTATCGGAGAGTACACAGCAGTACTGCTGTGGTGGCAGAACATGGATCGATGGGGAACGTGCCTTGTACCGTCACACGAACGTCGCATCGCTGGCATAGGAAGTACTGCTGTAGACGTCCCACAGCCAGGGAAAAACGGCGTACGCTCTGGTTTCGCTTGCACACTTTCCAAACGCGCGGGCACCTACGCGGACACGCCACTACCTTCGACGCAGCGTCGACTAAAGTATTGCTGACCCTGCTCTAATGGACCGCTGCGTTGACTCTGCTTCAACAACGAGAACCACAGTACTATGCACCGTGACTCACGATTTCGTCCGCATACGCCCCCGACCCCACCTCTCTTCCACACCCCATACGCAAAATGAAATGCAACAGATATTGACGGCCCTCCAGATATTAGGCAGGGGCAACTGCTTCGACGACATATGTCAACTGTCTTTGATGAGCAAGCCGATGGCGGCGGCTACGTTCCACAAGTTCTGCAAGCACTTTGCGCAGGAGCTGTTCGAGGAGCACATATACCTTCCTACCGGATCGTACCAGGATGAAGTCATGTGCATGTACGACAAGCTGGGGATGACGGGGGCCATCGGATCTACCGACGTGACCCACATCGGATGGGGCATGTGCCCGTTCACCCTTGGCCGTTCTTATACGGGCAAGGAAGGATTCCCGACCATCGCCTACCAAGTGACAGTCGACCACGCGGGTCGAGCCATCGCGATCACCAGCGGTTTCACCGGAGCAACTAATGACAAGACCATCATCCGCTACGACGCAGGTGTCCACACCATCAAGACGGATGCCCAGTACACGAAGCGCACGTACAAGCTCCGGAGGGCGGATGGAACATTTCGGGAGCGCAAGGGGTGCTACTATATCGTTGACAACGGGTACCACGAGGTAAATTCACTTGGCCATCCTAATAGAATGAGAGAGGATTATCCCCTGGCGGGAAACACTCGAGCAGGGCTACTGTAGTTCAACCGTAGGCAGACCCAGTTCACTTTGTCGTTTGTCGGCCTTAGAGAGCGTTGTTTCCGGCGCCAACCAAACATAAAAATCTCCTTCCGCTTACGCCTACTTGATGCCGGGAAATGGGGACAACGTGGATGCCACAACGTAACACATCACACATCGATGGTGTGTGTAGAAGTCGGGCAAGTTATGAAGTCACGCTGCAGATTTTTCTGTCGACGCATGCTCAAGTAATGTACACACGGCCGCGCCGGATTCGGCACGTTTGATCGTTTGGATGCGTAGATGGCCACAAGCAGATTGGTGTTCACAGGTCGAAGCACGACTCATTCAACCCGCACCAGGCAGGCGGTTCTTTCAGCCAATAGTGACCTCGCCCGCAGTGCCAAGCTATGGTGTGGATCATGCGTTGCCCGCATGATATTCATGTATTGTAGTCAAAGTGCGGATAACCTACATCTAAGCCCCTACCCGCCGGAATTTTTGTTTAAAATCCTGCTGTTATTTGTCCTGCCGAACAGTGGGTGACCCTCATCGCTCCGTCCAAGTACCCGGCGAACAGCGAGGACACTGCTTTCTCGAGGACGCTTGAGAGCGTGCGCAAGGACGTTGAGTGCTTCTTCGGTATCCTGAAGGGACGTTTCAGGATCCTCAAGCTCCGCCTCGGGTACCGCTCCAAGGAAGACGTCGACAACATCTTCTCCACCTGCTGCATCCTGCACAACATGCTTCACACCTTCGACGGCATGGACGTGTTCGAGGAAGATGTCGACTGGGTGGGGAGCGCTGGCCTGCACGACCCCTGGGACCATGACCCACTGACAGACTTCACGTCTATCGGATCGACCGGGAAGCTTTCGGAGAAGGAGGGAGGGGAGGGGGGGGAGGAAAGCAGCGAGACGATCGACCAGCACCCGGCGCACAGAGAGCTCAAGAAACAGCTAATCGAGAGCTTTTCTTACCGGAAGAGACACAACAACATTACATGGCTTTCGAGGCCCACGTGAGCCTTCTTCTTTTTGCTACCACGCCGCTGCCTCGGGTATCTGTTGCAAGCCGTTTGTTTTTTTTTGCTACACGCGGTGTTTAGTAAGACGTTCCCGCCTTGAAGATGGTGTTGTCGCGCGGGTTGTTTCATATTTTCGCTGTGCTGTCTTGCACCTGTCGGACATGGGGTACTCTTGTATTTGTCTGCAAGAGGGACTCTGTGCGTGTCCGTGCGTGTGGCGTTTGTGTGTTCGAGTTTCAGATTGCCTTGTTATTTATCGGTGCCACGGACATTTGACCAGCTTCGGTTCCAACCAAAATTCTTGGTGCACCACCCCCATGTGACTGCCTTGGAGGGAGAGATGGGTGATAGACTTGCGTCTTGTGTTTTTTTTTGTAGCGGTGTCGAGTACATTTGACCAGCTTCAGTTCCAACCACACTTCTTGGTGCACCACCCCCACGTGACTGCCGTGGAGGGAGAGACGGGTGATGGACTTGCGTTTTGTGTTTTTTTTGTAGCGGTGTCGAGTACGTTTGACCAGCTTCAATTCCAACCACACTTGTTGGTGCACCACCCCAATGTGACTGCCTTGGAGGGAGAGATGGGTGATAGACTTGGGTCTTGTGGTTGTTCTCATGCATGTCAATCAACATTTCTACACTACGTGTACTGAAGTGGCATGAGCACAAGCATACAGGCCAATGTATCGGACATTGCAACGTCAAAACGTACGACACTACCCACAAGAAGTACGTGGACGGCTGGCACGAACCAGACCTGCGTATATTGTCGACACTGCCGGGGGAACAGCAGAGGACGGGGTCGTTACCTACCTCCGAAAACACGCACCCCCTCTCACATGATTCGGAACCAATACGCACATGTTGAAATCTGCAAACACGCGGTAGCTCAGCCTTAAGCACCCCTGAAAAAGAAACACGAGAACACACAAGCAAAGGTCCATCCCCCCGTCTCTACGCACCGCAATCAAGTTACCCTCCAGCTGCGTTGGAAGTCACCCCTAAATCAATTTGGAGTCTGCACCATCGAACCGCACACAACCATAGATTTGTGGGAATCACCACCGCCGTGCATCCCCTTAAATCCTGACTTCCGAAACTTCAACCGCATCATTCATGTCTCCCCCACCCTCCGTCCCGGCCACCTCACCCCCGGCTACCCCTTCTCCGTCGCCTTCGGCCACGCTTGGAGCTGCCACAGACAGGGGGGCGACGACGGGGTTGTCATACGCGTGGAGGAGCTCTTCTTGCAACGCCTGAGCCTCTGCAGTGGACCCCTTCCCCATCTTGCCCCACAGGGCTAGCTTGCTCTCCATTGCGCGGACCCTCTCGTTCCAACGCGCACGCTCGGCTTGCTCTTGGTCGAGCAGCTCCTTGCTCACGACAGCCCTCGTCAGCGCCTTGACACTTTCGACCAACTCCAACGAACTCTTGGAATCTTCGGGGGGAGTGGACAGGGCCTCCAAGGCACGGCGTTTCAGAACAGCGTCGGCTTCTGCACCCTTGAGCTTCTTGTTCTCTGCGTTGACCTCGTGTGCCAACGTCTTCATTTCCGCTCGGCTGTGCTTACCCCCGGCCCCGTTCATCAACTTAAGGCCTTTCGTGCTCAAGCAAGGTTTACTCTCGTCTTCCGGAGTCGGGGACGCAGATCCCGACCCGGATGCACATCCCGACTCCGCCTCCTTCGTTTTGGTGCCACTGGGCCTCCCACTAGTCATTTTGAGCTTCAGATCGACATCCTCGTTGGTACCAGCGGGCCTCCCGAAAATTGCGAAGACGAGGGAAGCCGGGTGCAGCCAGTGTTCGGGTTTGGGTCCGTACAGACGCGTTAGGTCATCTTCGGTTTCTGCGTCCCCCGCCGTTTCCTCAGGCTCCTTCCCCTCCTCCTCGTCAGCTGTCTCCGGCTTGATGCCAGCTGCAATCTCCTCCACCACGTCTGCATCCTCCCCCTTATTATTCCTGGCAGCCTCGACCCGTGCCAGGGCTTTTGCTGTGGCGTATCTCAATGCCGCTTCCGAGTGGCCGAGAGGTCCCGCCTCTTTACCCCCCCCTTCACCCGCCCCCGCTCCTTCCACCCCCGCCTCTGTCTCGCCGTCGTCGTCCCCCGTCAGCACTATGGGTTGAGACTTCGCGCGTGCATTAGCGGCAGCCACTTCTTTCTTGCGTCCAGCTGTCCTCCTATCCTCGAACCATAAGTATAACTGGAGATTCTCCCAGATATCTTCGGCCTGCATTCCGGAAGGGAGGTCGCCGTCCACCAGGAAACTGAACAGGGCGACACACGCGGGAATTCGGGTGCAACTTGAGCTCTCAAAGTAACACCTTCGAAGTGCGCGTTTCGCGTGGACAAATTGATTCGACAACCAAAACCATTTCGAGCGACTAAAAGAAAACTTGGTACCGGGCAACGTGTAGGTACTACGAGCGAGGTAGGTACCACTCTTTACCCACTTCCCTTCCGATAGCGGCAACCCGGGGGTAATACACAATGATGCAATGCGAGATGAATACCGATGACAGAGTCTTCGCAAATACACATGACACGGAGAGTAGATGAAAAACTTCTTCAGCAACATCAGCAGCATTCACACGTAACCCTAAATCAACGCCGCAGCACTATTATAGCTCATTTAAGTCAAGCAGCAGCTACAACATGACAGACAAACAAAGCTTTCGTCCACCACCGCAGGTGCCTGCGCAGAATACTGTAGTCTTTAAGTACAACTGGTGCCTGAGGCTCGGCTCATGCTGCTACTGCTGCTGCTGTGCTGGGTTACGCCTTGCGCCTTGCACTACATCGAGTTGGGACTGTCGAAACGGAGAATAACGCTGTAATTTTTCGCGTTCAGGCGCATTCATCTGTTTCGGCCTGTATGCATAGCACCCGTCACCACCAACTCGAAGTTGCAGCAACGGGTTTTTGGCAATTGCTGGCGGTGCCTGGAATAAAAAGAGTAAAAAAGGAAGAACTTCTGGGCCATTCTATCGCGAAACATCTGTATATCTCGACGTCCACTACGTCGATTCGCAAGCAGGTTGCTGCAGTAGATGCGGAGTGAGCGAGATATCACCTAGATCTGTCCGTCCTGTGAATGACTGCCCCCTTATGTCCACTCGTATTGCTGTTTTGTAGGCATATCAACACAACACGCAAGCACGCACGCCAACAAGCCGCTTCTCTTCCTGCCGTTAGCTACAGCAGCGACGGCGTCTTGCTTCGATGTCCCACACTCCTCCTTCTGTGTGTGATGTGCTGGGTGCTCTGCATGCTATGTCTCCCGTGTATTGCCCAGAACGCAGGTGAAGTGTGCGCCTCTTGCGCCCCTTGTCATTTGTGCCACAGTACCGGGCGGCCAAGTCCCGCCTGTACTTCTAGTACAAAAAATTGCGCAACACGAGCGACGAGCGGGGCGCCGCCACTAAAGCACGGCCTCTACCTACATAATCCGAATCCACTCGCCTGTCCCAGATTCTGTTGAAGTCCCTCCTGATCTCACGGCCACACGATAGGTACTTGGACCAAACCAGACCGTCGGTGTTGTAGAGCCTTTTGGCTGCGGCAAAAGGCAGCGGCATCGCGACCGGGGCAGAACACCGTATGCGTAGAAGGTGTGGGTAAGATTTGTGTTCATCTCTCGTTGTACAGAAATTTTTCCCACGAAACCCTTGGGAGTATGTGTGCCCAAGGTTTGTGCCCGACAAGTCTATTACAGCCATGATGTACCAACAGCACGACTACGCACCGCAGCACCAGCGGGAGAGAGCGCCTACACTATTGTACAGCAGCGGTATTATTGCAGTTGTACAGTCAGCCTGTGCTTTGTGCGTGTCTATCCCTTACCTGAATCGTTTCCGGTGGTCATGCCCATAAGGTCTTGGGTCAGCCAACTCGGGGGGGTTTGAATGACCACGGTCTTCCACCAACACAGGAAGCTTGGAACGGTTAAGTTCCTGTAGTTNTGCAGTTGTACAGCCAGCCTATGCTTTGTGCGTGTCTATCCCTTACCTGAATCGTTTCCGGTCGTCATGCCCATAAGGTCTTGGGTCAGCCAACTCGGGGGGGTTTGAATGACCACGGTCTTCCACCAACACAGGAAGCTTGGAACGGTGAAGTTCTTGTAGTTGGTCCTGGCGTGTGCATCCCTCTGTTGGGTTGACATCGTCCCGGCCTCCCGCTTGGTGACAAGGCACTGGTAGTAAGCTGCCGCGTTCTGGATGAGCGATAGGTGCTTCGGAGTCTGTTTGGTATGACTGAGATACTCCAGCAGATCATCGGAGTGTTCATTCCTGGGTAGGAGTAGCGCCTCCACGACCATGGTGGTGTTATGGATTCGTGCGTCCCTACAGCAGTAGCGTGCTGTCGTGGTTGACGAATGAGGAGCCACGGCTGTGTGCACGGGACTGTCACTTAGACACCCCCTAACATGCACGTGGCCCCTGAAAAAAATCGCTCGCGCGAAAACAAACTGCTCGGAGCGTAAGGCGGTCGTTTGGATCTTGATAACTATTTCCGTGAAGGCCCCCCCCCCCCGTCCGAGAGAAAAAAAAAATCTCCGAATACTCACGCCGCAGACTCAGCTTATAAGCGAGTTATTCTTGCAAAGTGAGTTTTTCTCTCGCTTCCGCTGCGGGCCTAGTGGATAGCGCTGTTTCGTGTGTACACAGAGAGAAGAGAGTGCAAAACTCTTCTCGCATTAAAGATCGAAGCCAACGTACCGTTGGAGGGGAGGATAGAGAGGGGTCTTTCTGTGTGACCACGGGTTGGAGTACACGGCACCAGTGTACCAGTGCTGTGAGCGCTGATCTGAAGTGAAGACGAAAAACAAAAATCAAGGTCCTTATTATTGCACGTGCCGTAAACACAGCACACGCAAGCACACGCAATTGAGAGGGAGGGAAGGAAGAAAGCCTGTACGAAACGTTATACGAAAGGAATCAAAACTTTTTTCGCGGGCCTCTGGCGCAGCGCAACAGCTACAGCAGCAGCAGTGCAACAGGTACAAACCGAACAAAACGCTGATTCTCCGTTTCACCTCCGAGCCCTTAGCCTACTTCCTTCCTCCCTTGCCTGGCGGTCCAAAACCGTGTCCGGCTGACTGAAGAACCACTTCCCGGAAGCATGGTCGGTAATTGTGATGACCTTGAGGCCGGGATGGGCCTTGTAGATGGGCGCGCCGCCGTTCTTCTCCTTCATCTCCTTGCTGTGGGAGGAGGCAAGGAACAACAGCATCGTATATCACAGCGGACGGAAAGTGGGTTAAGTGCACTTTTTTGGGCAGCAGCAGCAGCAGCGCACCCACAGCAGGACGAGCGTACCGCGTAGTAGGCGCAACCTGCCCACAGCAGGATAGCAGCACTTGCACAAAATCACGCCACAGCTGTAGTAGTCATCTCCACAGCAGCAGCTGGACAGCTGGTCTCTCTGCAACAACAGCGCCACATGTGTGTGAAGAGACAAAACTCACAAGTAGGTGCCCGGCGTGGATGACCACTTCCCGGCCTCAAGGAAAGGCTGCAGGGAGTACCAGGCGTGGTGATCGCCCTGGGGCTCGAGGATCTGTCCGTTGTCCGTCATGTTTCCCACCGAAGACGTCGATGTTGCTGCTGCTGCTGCGGCGGGTAGGCGGCGGGATGCGGCTGAGCTCGAGCGCAGGGAGGTCGGGATAACAAAGGCAATTGCGGGCTGCAGATTCCACATTCCAAATGGCAACAAGTGCGACAAGGCGAGCGTGCCACCGAACATACTTCTTTCGGCTCTTGGCGAAGAATGGCGGGGGGGGGGGGGTTACGGCAACACAGGTGGCCAGTGGGCACGGTTTCGGGGGGCTCAGCCTGTAACCTTCCCACGTTATCCCATGTAATAACCCCTCGTTGGCCGGAGGTTACACCACGCCCCCGTACAACCGTGCCCACGTTTTTTTTTTTTTTATCTTCACTTCAAATCAGCGCTCACGGCATAGTGCCGTTTACTCCAACCCGTGGTCACACATAAGAGCCCCTCTCTACCCTGCCCTCCTGCGGTACTTTACCCACTGGCCACATGTGACGGACGGCAGGAGGGCTGGGACAGCAGTGGAGTGGTCTGCACCCTACGCCTTGTTGACAGTAGCAGATTCGATGGAGGAAGCGCCTCCCGCTTGAAGGAGCAATGGACGTCATGTACGTGAACCATTCCATTCCACACAATCGATATGCATGTGCGCCACTTGCCGGAAAACCCGCAAGAGCCGAAAAGATGTTCGCTGGTGACTACTAGACTACTGTAGCACTATGCGTGTTTCCGAGATATTTCTGATGATTAGTCGCTTTCTTATATGCCTTCGGCCGCTGTGCTGTGTTCCTTTCTTTTTTTATGACCTCCGTGCCGACTCTGCTGTGTTGCTGTGTTGGGTACCTTGATCTTGCTTTTGCTGTTGCTTTTGTTATTGTACGTCTGGCTCTCTGCCCATCTGACGCCTCTTTGTCCTGTTTGCTCCGTTACTCCCATGCCCTCGTGCGTAGTGCCGGGTGCTGGTACGCTACCCTTTGATTTTTTCTTTGAGCGGGTTAGCGGGTGTGGCGTTCTCCTTGATTGTTTTTGTTTTTTTTATCGGTTTCCGAGGGCTCTTTTCTCGAACGGTCTGGGCATAGCTGTTCTTATCATTTTGTTTTCCCGCGGCGTCGTATGTGCCGGGTTTTGAGACCACGGGCTCCCCATTTTTCTGTGGACCATCGACAACAACAACAGCAACTGGATTCCTTTCCCAAAGAAACTCGCTTTCAGGATGGCGGAAATCCGGCTGGAAAACAGTCCGGCCGTTCTAATAGGTAGCCGGATTCCTCAGGCAGATTGTTGCGGGGTGGGTGTAGATCAACCCAGACGACAATCGGCGAGTGCGACCTGAGTTCTTGACGTATCGCTCCCATCAAGGGCTCCCAGCAACCCAACGCCGAAGGGCTTGCTATTCTGCACCCTGGCTATTGATGGTCGCTAGGCACGCCTGAGTAAAAAAAACATGCCGCATCGCACCCAGCATGGGAGACGCCGCAACAGGCCAAACCGCCACGAGACAGCACATAGAGCGGCTTTTTGTCAGAGAGGAGAGGACGCCGCAACTGATTTCTCGCTCCCTCGGCCACCGATCAAAGCCAGACCGGTCAGGGCGTGCTCTCTATTACTTTCTCTCTGCCGGAGTAGATTTTCTCGGCAGCTCGTACTCTCGATGGACGGAGAGAAGCATGCGCGTGGTGGCCGTTGCTTGTTCGAACTGTGATTTTTTCCTGGTCTGCTTCACTTGAGCATAGAGTCATGTGTTGAAGGCCTGGAAACAATTTTCAACAGACAGCATGTGTACACACAGACGACGATTTAGAATGATTGGATCAAGGAGCTGCTGAGGAAATCTACTCCGGCAGAGAGCAAGGAACAGAGAGCACGCCCTGACCGGTCTGACTTCGATCAGTGGTCTAGGGAGCGAGAAATTAGTTGCGGTGTCCTCCCCTCTCTGACAAAAAGCGGCTCGTTTGCTGTATCGTGGCGGTTTGGCCTGTTTCGGCGTCTCCCATGCTTGGTGTGATGCGATATATTTCTTTTGCGCACGCATGCCTAGCGACCGTCAACAGCCAGCGTGCAGAATAGCAAGCCCTTCGGCGTAGGGGTGCTGGGAGCCCTTGACGGGAGCGATACGTCAAGAACTCAGGTCACACTCGCCGAACATGTCACCTGGGTTCACCCAGCGGTGAACTTTTCGGGATGAGAAATATGCGCGGGCGCCATCCTGATTTCTTCTGAACTTTCCAGGTGAAGGCCATCCGAAAAGCTGAACACGGATTTTGTCGACCCCGAAAGAAGAAGAATCTAGCTGCAAAAGAAGCCGGATTTTCGCCCGTCCTGAAAAGTGAAGCTTCTTGGGAAAGGAAATCAGGTGTATAAGATCAGCCTTAATATAAGTACGTGGTCGGATGTCCTAATGCGGAACGGCGAGAGGGCGCTGGAGAGACTTTTTTAGGCTAGGAACCAACGCCCGACTAACCAGAAGGGCGTGATACCGCATACATGGGAAGAATCACATTCTGCAAAATCACAAGAATCACGAGAATCACCGGTCAAATTTCCGATGTTCCCCTCGTTCCGAACTATTGTATGCCGTCGGAACCAGGTGGAACTCCCTTCACAGCTATTTGAGTCAAGTTGCTGTGCGTTGCCGTTGCCGCACCCATGTTTGCAAGCTGACAGAGGGCGAAGCGGAGTACGGGTAAAAGGAAACAGAGGCGCAATGTCGATGTTTCGACAGGTGCTTTCGAGAGATCCGGGTCAACTACCATCCGGCATTCAAGGAAACGTGAGTTCACGCCATGTTCCGATCCCCCTCCCCAGCAGTGATGGATACAGCACAAGCAACAGAGAGCTGAGAGTAAGGCTCCCCTGGGGCTGGCTCTCTCTGCGTACGACATGCTACCTCGACCATCCACTACCTTCAATGCGACTACTCTTTTATATTGAACGACACGCAATCATCGCACGTTTCAGATTCACCTGTTGATTCATTTCTGCATCGTTCGGGGTCTCCTTGCTACGATAGATGGCGGACCTACGCAGCAGTACACACTACTGCTGTACCTGTAAATGGGTTTTGAAAACGTGCTTATTTTTCGTGAATCATTACAATAGTTGGTGTTATCGTAGTGGCCATTTCCGGGAAGCAGAAGTACCCGATGTTTTTGCCACCGGCGCAGGCGGATGTATGCCTAGGATCACGCTGTCGGGTGTCACCGGCAAGCGCCACGGCGGCTTAACCCCTGCTGTATTTGCACGACCTTCCATCTCGCTGTGCGCTGGGTGCCTCAAAACGGGGTTCCAGCGTGGTACACGTTTGGTTCATGGACGCGGGCAAGGCTCACAGAACACAAGCAGCAAACATGCCGCAGCGTGGCATTCGCAACGGACACAGCAGTGCGCAACCGTAGTCTGGGCGGTAACCCAGCCGTCTCTTAGGCGGATGCGGGTCTACACCCAACCCAAAGGGCGCTGAACATGAACAGCCAGCTTGTCGGGTACATGAGCGTTGGTAACGTCTCGCCCACGACCCCCTTTACAAGCCCGGCCCTCTCCCTGCTGTGGAGAGTCGAGTGGGGAACTCATGTCGCACATCCTATATTCTCTCTTGCCCTGACGATATTCGTTGAAGGTGTGTTGGCTCTTTGGATCATGTTGCTTTCTTGAGGAGACGAGAGCCGCTCCAAAACCCCATCCAACATCTTGGTGCACAGAAGTTCTGCTATTTCTGCCCCCTTGTGGCCCTGCTTTGGTGGTGTTTCGTGCACGCTAGGCCTGTGCCATAGGTTGGGGCTGCGAAGGGAGACTAGCCACGGCAACCACATCAGGCGAGGTTCTCTTGGCAGACGTGGATAGCCACGGCAACGCTAGGTGCGTGTCTAGCCAAGGAATGGTTGTATCGTACCTTGACTGCGGCGAAGCAGTGTTGGCCGCCCTTTGTAGTACACGCTGGGTGCGTACGTTTTTTGCGCCGGCAAACGTGGTCTGTGTTCTACGGAACCTACGCTGAAGTTTTGAGTGCTGTCCCGCCATCTCGCTCGCCTTCTTGCCACAGAAGTACAGTATCATCGCAATGTGTACCCAGCCGATTTCCCCCCCATAGTATTTCTACCCTGCATCAATTTTTGCCGTCTGGTGTTAAGTGGTTAGCTCTTGCCCCAGCAACAGTTCACTCTCCTCTCCAGTTATGTTATTTTTTTGCCGTATTTTCATGTCGCGGGAGCTATGTTCGAGGCACCGGCGTTGTTTGCCCTTGATTCCTCCCTTGTGACAGCTTCATTTCATGTTTATCATGTTGTGACTCTACGAATGAGTGTGTCGTCGCTGGTTTCCGCACCCTATCTGCACGGTGCACGGCTGTCAAGCAGCTCTTTCTTGGCTCTGAGGCTATTTGTGCCCTACATTTAATTTTTTGCAACTCGCTGCTTGAAGAGATGGCAACGCCATCACCTCTCAACACCTTCATCAACGGCATTCGAATACTACATCCAACACCACCACCATTCGACGCGATTAACGACGAACCCACCCAAAGGGTCAAGTCAAGCTTTGTGGCGCATGGGTCGAAGGACGGAACCGAGGCGCTCGCATGGCACCCCTCAGACAGGAACCAACTGGCGACCTGCTCAGTCGACAAGTCCTTAAAGGTGCGTTGAGGGTTTACTCACGACCTGAACGCACGCTAGTACCACGGTCACCGTGCTGTGGGTTCCTGATGCTATCCCTCTGGCGCTTGTTGGCTGCAGCCTCGTTGCACATTCCGCCATACGAGAGGCGGGCAGAAGGTGGAGGCGCCGCCAACGAGACGGGGAAGAGTTTTTGCCCTGATTCGACGCTCAAACGCGGGCACGTTTCCGGTATCCCTCCTATTTCCTTCGTCCCCCCTGACGTGGCCTGGTATTGTTGTGGTGTTGTAGTTGGGTGACACTGTTTGGTGCCCTCTGGTTTCACTTCTTCCCCGAATGTGATCCTGCTGCGCTCTTGATTGCCGCTTCGACGGCGGCTGTTGGAGGAAGGTATGGGATGTGCGATCGACGAACAGAGCGGTCCAGGAGCACATCTCCGACGGGGAGAACCTCAACGTCAACTACAGTCCCGATGGCCACTACATCGCCATGGGGTGAGCGAGTGAAGAAGAGCGTAGTGTCAGCACGGGGACGTGGTGTCAGTATTATGTTCGGTGGCGTGTCACAAGCGGAGGCTTGACCAGCTTCTGGTTGCTACCTGAGTTGGTAGACCTTCTCCCCATATTTACTTTGCCACATCAGTGACACACATCCACCATGCATCCACACACAAGCGACATACATGACATGCGTTGCATGTACCACAGCTTGAGACTTGACGGCCACGGTGTTGCAGGCTCGGGAATGACAAACGGAGTGGTGTACTAGACTGTTAGGCACCGCAGCTGCCCGCTTTGCTGTTACCCTACGCTTGATTTCCTATCAGTCAGAATCATTTTTCCACCCGTTACGCTGCCACTCGTGTGCTGTCAAGATTAGTCGTCGTTTGAGGGGGGAATGGGACCTCCTGTTCCGCCCACCTTCCAATGTGCTGCTCAAGCGCTGGCAAGCTCTCTTCCTCTTGGTCGGTCCTGTTCGGTGAATATTGGTGCTGCGTTTGTCTCTAGAATCACTGTCCGTGGTGAAATATCATTCTTTACCTCATTCCCTAGGGGCACGAAGAGGGCGCCAGATAATGCTGTCTTCATGTTTGTTGTTACTCACGCACGGCGTTTCTCTTTCCTCGCATTGTTTATTGTGTGCAATTGCGCGTCAGGAGCTCCAAGAAAGAAAGGAACACAGAAACGGACATCCTCGGTATCTACGACATGCGCACCAGGAAAAAACTTAAATCGGTGAGCGCCATAGTAATGCAACTCATCGCACATCCGGTGCTGTTTCTGGCTCTTTGTGAAAGATGTGAAACGTGGCTGAATCTTGCACATCCGGTGAGGCAGCGCACCTTCAATTTTCTCTTGACTAGACCTGTGTTGGGCCAGCCTCAACAAATGATGTCGCAATTTTTTACCATTATTTTCGTAGGTAAAGCTGTCCCGTGCACAACAGCGCAGCCATATCCCGACAACTTGCACTCCTTCGCCTTCGAAGTATGGGTGTGGGGGATCGTTGTTGTTGGCGCACGGTACTGTTGTATATGCGCGTTTTGTCCAAGATACCCACGTGCCTCGCGATACACACTGCCAACCAGACCACTCCTACCCGCCCTGTCTCTAAGCCTTAGCCCATACTCATATCCTGCCCGACTCTGGCGAGACAAGTCGGGAAGAGAGGCAATCGTTTGCCTGTCACAACGAAGATGGACATTTTATTCCGCTGTGTCCGACACCGAAAGTTGGCCCGTGCTCGTGGCCGATGTGTGAGCGGGTACCAGGTGCGTCATCAGCTAGGGCCACATCGCGATCGCCGAACTCCTTCCATCCGCTCAACCCTTTGCTGTGTAACCACGCAGCCAGTTCTTCTCACCGTCCTAACCCAAGATAGCTCAATCACCATCGACTTTTTCCGGCCTATGTCTCCTCCCCAGGTAAATGGGGGCTTTTGTCCCATGTATATATTTTCTTTTTTGTGCTGACTTGTTTGCCGGTGGTGGGTTTCCACATCAAACTTCTTCGGATGTTGGCCCGAGAGGGACGCGCTCAAACTTGCGGTTGAACAAGAGGATCAAACGGAACTTGTTCAATGTAAGCGTGGACAATGAAAGCATAAGGACATTCCTTACCCGCAGTTGTTACCTGATCCACACCGATCCAATTTTACCAGACCCTACCATGCCCAGCCTTATGTACCCCAAGCTACGTACCCCACCCCAATCATGCCCAACCCTTCATGCCCCTCCCGCGTGTGTTTCTACGGTTGCCTCCCCCCCCTCCCTGGCGGTTGTTTTCTCGAACCGCTTCAGGTGAAATTCACCATCCTAGCGCACGACTATAAGTGGTCGCCGAACGGGGAATATATCATCAACGCGACCGAAACGGGTTCAATAGATGTGAGAGGGTTTCAGCTCGAACTGAAAAGAAGATGACATGCAATGGAGAACATCCGAAGGGGCTGGTTGGACCGGTACTGTTGTCAGTGCTGCTGTTGTCGGCTTCTCTTTTGCTCTCTGTTGTTGGTCGTGGTGGTGGTGATAACCGTGGCGTCGTGGCATTTCTGCTGGAAGCGCAGAGTTGTCCTACGCTGATGAATCCGAATGAACCCGGGCGGCTCTGTGGTGACAGGCTGATACACCAAGAAGCAATACACACTAAGAGTAACGGCAGAGAGGCTGTGAACGAGTGCGGTGATCAGAAGACAGCGGGGGATACAAGACGTGCTTTCTGGCCGGAGCCCTGGTCATACAGAGGATATATACTGGACGAAGACGTCTCAACGTAGTCCCGACGCTACAGAACAGAAGCAGCAACAAGAGTACCGTGGTGTCGCGCGACATTGTCGCGTGACATGGTCAAGCAAGAAGTTTCCGAGAATTTTCCTGGGCATAGAGCGCTGCTGTGCCAAGAAAAGCACCGGCATGGTGCAGTGTGTGTGACACGAAACAACATCGTATGGAATATTCGACGAACTTTTTTTTGTTCGGATGTCGGGTGATGCTTTTGCTCCTTTTCTTTTTTCCCTTTTCCAAAGGTGATGGCGTTCGGGTCAACGAAGCCCTTGTCTCGTGTACGGTCGACCAAGCTCGCCCACACGGCGCCGTGCAAAGCGCTTGCTATCGACCCGTTCAACAGGTAATATGTTGTGTTCGGTTGTTATTGTGGTTGTTGTTGTTGTTTTTGCCGTTTGTTTTGGCGTAAAGTATCGTGCAGGCCCTGGCTCCAGGAAGGGGGTGAGAGAGATGGGGAGAGAGAGAGAGCGGGAGAGGGAGAGAGAGAGAGCGGGAGAGAGAGAGAGAGAGAGAGAGAGAGAGAGAGAGAGAGAGAGAGAGAGAGAGAGA